ACAAATTTTTTTCAAAATTGCCTTGCAAAAACACCCTAAACTCAGGGGGTACGGCGAACTTGTATTGTTTGCTTGTAAGGTCATACAATCCAATGTATGTATGTACATCCTTTTATCGTACATGTGTTTGTACTTATTTAATTACAAGAAAGTAGAAATTGTTGGAAAACAGGGTGGGTAGGCGGTTGAATCGGATGAGCTGAAGAAAGCAAGTTGCAAAAACAGTACATTTCCCGGTCTGTCATTCGGTGGTGGGAAAATGCATTTTGCAAATGTTGCCTAACGAGTCACATCAGGGGGTTGCTGTCAGTGTTGCCGCAAAGCATTTTTAGTGGTAGCCTTTAAAAAAAGGGCTAAAAAAGTCGGTGTGGTTAAAAATGGTAGCTAGGATACATAATCATATATAAGTATACACGCAAATATTTTCAATAAGTAATGGTATAGAAAAACAATGAACTCTGGAAAAAAAGATAATATTTTATCCAACCAAAAACCTTTTTGTATAAAAGGGGAAATATACGACACCAGCTTGCTGGCTCGATCAAGCGATTGTACCATCAGGCTCGAAGCATATAACTTACCAGCATGCTGGTACAATACTTATTTCTTTACAAATGAGGTCGAGGAAAGATCGAAATGATTTGAGCAGAAATTTCATAATTTTTCTACCATTTTGTCAAACATTGTTCTTTTTTTAATTCACAACTGCAATATCGTGAACTTAATATTCTACAAACACGGCTTTGACTCATATAGTAAATATTTTTTATACTTAGAAAATTTAGCTAATTTCACCACTCACGACACCAGCATGCTGGTACAATAATAAAATTTTCAAATAGTTTTTGAAGTCGCACCAGCAGCTGGTACAATCACACCACAAGAACATACACGGTCAATCGACTTGATGGGCCATTTAACAAATGAAGCATATTAATTCATCTCTTACATAAATGCAAAAAAAAAATTAGATCAAATTAAGCATATACAACTTTTTCATGTCCAGTATGAATAAATTCTCCAAAGAGCTAAGAAAAGGGCTAGGGGCAATTTTAAATTTATGTGGCCAAAAAAAGTATGTGGTAGCTAAATCTAGCCACCAAAGGGCTAAAACGGCAACACTGGTTGCTGTTCTCGTGGCAGCTGCGCCTGCAGGTCTATTGTCTTTTCTTTCATTTACATGTCTGTTTGCGTGCACTTTGACTTGTATAATTTAACTGTGAAGGTAGCGGAAAATATCACTGTGGGGGTTAAGTTGATGCATCTGTATTCAAGTTCATATGTAGATACATATAACATCTACCTAAGACAGCAATATAATTTCTTTAAATAAAAACTAAGTAATTTGTTTATTTCTTTTCTGGGGTGTTAGTCGCTGTGAATGCGTAAATCTGACAGAAAATTGCTTCAGTAATAGCAAAAAGTACAAAAAGCATAAATATTTTTAATCAGCTGTTAGTAAACAAAAAAAGCAATTATCAATTACACTGTACAGCACTTGGCTGGACATTGGACCAAACCAATTTTTTTTTGAAGAGACTGAGTCATAATTAAAAAAGAAATTTCTCCGTTTTTCGAAGATGCTTTGAATGAAAATTATATTGACCAGAAAAGGGAGGAAATATTTCTATTACATAGCATTCTTATGACAAAAACAAGTAAGAGCAGCGCTGTCTTCGGCTATGCCGAAGGCTTCATACCTTTCATGAACATCTGCAAATTTTACTTTGACAGATTACTGCCTTTGAATACATCTGCATACATCGATAGAGGAGTTACATACTTATATAAAAAATCGAATCTAAACAATCAGAGGTATGGAAGATATACTTTATATGACACCAATCTAAGTAATTTTCACCGCTATGTGATCGGTATGTAAACCGGTAACACAATTTATTGGGTTTAGTTTCGTACATAAAGGAGATATATGGCAAAAACTGGTATCTTAACAATCAGTGCTATAGGAGATAAAGCTTATACAGCATAGATTTTGACGATTTTCTCAGTAGACCTTGTATTATTATTTATAAAATATCTTACGAAATTTATCGGTTTTAGCTGTTCAAGTAAAGGAGTTTTACAGTAAAATCCCATATCTGGAAGATATATGTTGTAGTCATCCGATCCTTGTTATTTACACTGTAAGTATTCTGTTAATAATGAGTGAAAATGGTGGGAAATTTCACTGTAAGTTTTCTGTTGATAATTATTGAAAACAGTGCGGAATTTCATGTTCCTAGCTATATAAATGGAGGAGTTATAACGCAAAATTTTATATCTGAACAATCAGTTGTATGGGAGCTATAGGTTATAGTGACCCGATCTTTGTAATTTTCACTGTAAGTATTCTGTTGATAATGGGTGCAAGAATTGCAAAATTTCATGTTCGTAGCTGCATAAATGGAGAAGTTATAATGAAAAATCTCATATCTGAACAATCAGTTGTATGGGAGCTATATGTTATAGTTGTCCGATTCTTCCGGTTCCGACAAATGATTAATACATTATAAAAATACACCCACCTACCAAATTTTATCCGGATATCTCGAAAACTGAGAGACTAGATTGCATACAAACAGACAGACAGACGGACAGACGGACAGGCGGACATGGCTAAATCAACTCAGCTCGACGTTCTGATCATATAAGTATACATTTTCATGGGTCTATCTCTTTTTGTTCTGGTACTTACAAACATCGGACCAAAGTTATAATACCATTTCATGCTCATGAAAGGTATAATAAACGATGGATGCGATACCTCTTAGAATTATCGTAGAGAGAGGAGATTCAAGTAGGATCAATAATTGAAATCTTTTTATTTCATACTAATGAGAAGCATTTGGTATAAACTCCAGCAATGACAGTAAAATCTAGAATCTTTAAAGTTCATAGCTAACATTGGGGGTGGTAGCACGCAGTATATGTCAGCTATCCTGTGAATAACAGCGCTTCAGAGATTTCCGGTCAATAGTATTGACTGAAGCTACAAATGTTGCCTCAAACTTAAGCATCGACACTCTGTTGGAAGAAAGCCACCCACTTAGTCGAAAGAAAGTGGTTCCATGACGAAACCTATGTAGCAGAATACGTGTTTGAGAGCCCTGTAAAGCTTTTCGAGTTTTCTATACGCCAACAGACCTTTAAATAATAATAATAGATTGGCGCTTACACATATGTTCGTGTTTGGCCGAGCTTCTCCTCCGACTTGTGGCGTGCGCCTTGATATTGTCACACATAGCGGAAGGACCTACAGTTTTACGCCGACTCCGAACGGCGATTGTATATATACAGTATTGGACACATCTATTGCAACCCCCTTTCAAAGCCATATTGTTTGCCACTTATATTTAATTATTTGTTTTTAAGAATTTTCAATTAAAATACAGTTCATTTTCCAGCAAAACCCATATAAACCAATGTTTTAAACTTTTTAAAAGACCGAAAAAAGTGCAACAAACTTTCCCTTAAATTTCCAACTTTTTTCTTAGAAGCTCTAGGATTTTTTTGAGTACACAGTTTTATAACGCATTGAATTTTGTCCAATAATGTGCAAGTTTTAAGTCGCTAAAGATTACCGTTGATTTTTTAGAATTTTTTTGTCTCATTTGCTTCCATATAACGACTAAACACAATTTATTTTTATATAGCAGAAACCCGCAACATCCTCGGCGAAAAAAATTCTAAAAAATTAACGGTAATTTTTAGCCACTTGAAACTTCTACATTATTAGACTAAAATTGAATGGGCTATAAAACTGTTTATTCAGAAAAATTCTACCGCTTCTGAGAAAAAATTTTAAAATTTGGGTGAAAATTTGTTGCACTTTTTTGCGGTCTTTTAAAAAGTTTTAAACTTGAGTTTATGTGAGTTTTGTGAGAGAATGAACTGTATTTTAATTGAAAATTCTTAAAAATAAATAAATAAACATGAGTGGCAAACAATATCACTTTGAAATGGGGGTACTATTGTATTGGCCAATACTGTATATCATTGTAAATATACATTTTGAGTGAATAAACTTCAGGAGCTACTAAAATATCGCTGTTTATGTATTGCTGAAAACTACCGTTATATATGAGGTAGTCGTGGTTATTGCCTGATTTTGCCCATTATCAATAGCATCCGTCTTTGACTTAAGAGAAATGCACGTCTTGGTATACTCCCAGTCATTTGAATATCACATCCTTTTGATCGTAAGAACCTATAATTTTCCTTTTTTTGTTTCATATTCATTAAATTTTTATAAAAATGTAGCATATTCTATATGTTTCTCCGATTTTAAAATTGTATACAAATTTAAAAAAACATGTAAACAAGGGGGTGTGCTATCCTAATGACCTGCAGTGCATAATATAATAATAATTTTGGAAAAATTTCGGGTATGCAGTTTTGTAGCCCATGCAATCTTAGTATAACAAAGTTTCAAGCGAGTTTCAAGTGGCTACAAAATATCGTTGATTTTAGAATTTTTTTTTTGTCGTGTCTGGTGACTGGGAGTGTACGTTAAGAAATCTAAATTTTTACTCGAGTTATCGTGTGCACAGACGGACGGATGGACAAACAGTCACGGCTTAGTAGATTTCTCTTTTCATTCTAAGTATTTTGGTATATATTTGTCTATATCTATCTCGATTCATTTAGGCTATTACAACCAAGTTATAATACAAAGGTGCAAAAGTGCGCTCGGGTATAAAAAGAGACTCCTCGACAAGAATTCATGGCATATATTCATACGTATACGTAAAACAAAAAAAAACATACATATATGTATGTTATTTACTCTGCATAATTAAATTTATTTGTATATTTGTTATTTACAAAAATATGCAGTATTAAAGATTGTAAATAGAACATATTACGCTTGTTCGCTTGTATCTTGCTTGTTCGTGCTGACTCTCAACAAAAAATTTCTTTCCTGATTCACATTTCGTAAATATTTATGTACCTACTTTTCGTAATATATATGTATGTATATTTGTTTTTGTTGTACGTACTTTTGTCTGTTTCCAGGTTACACTCCAGCGCTGCTTAAAAAAATATCGCAGCACTTTGTTTATAATTTTTTATTTGATTTCTCCCTAAATTTGCTAACATTTTACACTTTTCTGATGCGAACACATTTTTGATATTTATTTTTGTTGTTTAATTTATCGCTTTGCATTGCCCAATTTTTGATATGTAAAATGCACATAAACAAAACACTTTGTTTGTGTTTTATGCTCACAGTTGGTGCGCCAGCTTTTTTGTCGGCCCTCTGGCGTCTGAAGCGCTTTGTATTAGTTGTATTTTTTTTTTATTTAAACACACGCCTTAGCGAGCAGATACAATGCTACTCTTCTTGTTTTTAAGCAACTAAATGAACACTAAGTGATTTGCTTGTTAAATTTTGCTTCCAGTTATTTATTATTTAATTAATTTATTTCTCGGTTCACGGCCTGCAAATACCGACAACGTTTGCTAGCACCGAACACCCAAAAAGCACCAATTGACTTATTTAATTTACTCTATTGGTTTTCCATGGTGCATCAGAAAGACTCGAACGTTTTAGCAGCCAAAAAATCAACTTCTCTCTGCGTTCGCACCATCAACTACTGTCAGCGCGGCAGCTCAGCGAGCGAATAAATGTAAGCATTTGCAAATAAAAGCAAAAGTGCTTTGCAGCGTCTATTCGCAGTTCACTGTATACATTTGTTTTAAATTCTCTGCTGTTCTACTCAGCTCAATTTAGCTCAGCCCGCCGTCAGCTGGTTAATCGTATGGTTGTGCTCGTTTGTGGGTTCGTTGCCTCCCAGTCAAATAATATGAAAAGGCGGATGTGAATTGTAGTATGAATGATTTGTATCTCTTAGTTCAGGTCTCTTTTGCTAGCGTTCAGTCGGTCGTCTACTTGGCTGTGGGTGCTTGAGAGTGGGCGTGTGGGGTGGTCGGCGCGGTAAGTCAGTGAATGAGCGTAGTGGCGCAAGCGATCAACTGTGACTACGTATGCGAGCGAAAGAGAGCTATCGAAGAAGCTTGTTATCAAAAGTTCCAGCTTTAACCGAAATTTACGTATATTACTTACAAAAACATTTGTTTGTAGATACATATGTACGTATGTATGTATTTTTATACAAGTCCAACGCTTTCATTGCGCGCAATTCTCTTTAGCTACTGCTCGCTAGCCCCAACAAAGAAAAACTGGTTGAAGTGGTACCACAAAATCGCTTAAAATAAAGGCAACAGCATGAGAAGCGCAAAGAATAATGGGGGCCGCGGCGGGTACCAATGACTGTACAAGAGCTGTGTGGCGTTCAGAGACAAAAGCAAGTCCATGCTGTAGATACAAATGTTGCTAAACATTTCGTTGCATTTGATTGATATTCTAGATACATTTCAATTGATTTCGATTAACCACTGGCGATGCTGTGCCCCACATTTATGTATGTATATGAGTGTACGTGTGTATTATTTTCTACATACATACATATGAATGAATATATATAAATGTATTTTATATGCATTATTGAGTGCTGGTAATTGTTCAAATGGATTACAGAATTCAAAGTTTATCGAATGATAATTGAATTAGCTGTAATTTTTATTGAAATTTCAATGCATCGTATTTTGTATGTATGTACGTACATATGTACATTGGCGCGGGTAAATTTTTTTTACTATTCGCGTATAGCATAGGAGGATTATACTTGTAATTCTGAGTAAGTTTGCCAAAGGAACTATGAGTCGAAAACAATTTGGAATTTGCCAAATTGTTAAAATATGTTTCGAAGAAAATTTGTAAATTTTCACTGTTCCGTCCTCTGGTGGAAGTTTTAAGAAAAAGATAAGTGCCTTATTGCATTTTTTATACAAAATTAAAGCACTGCCAAGAAACATATTTCCTCCAAATTTCTTCGGCAAATTTGCTTAGAATTACATGCACATATAACCGTTCTGTGCCATACGCGCATAACCGAAAAAATTTTCTATACAAATGGACTAGCCCTAACTTACGTACGTACATCATTAGCACACACAAGGGGTGGGTTTTGGGGTTCAAACCCCCCCTAAAGCTAATAACCTCAAATACAATCTGTATCTTAAAGCTAAGAATCCAGCTCTCAAGGAAATTATAAGAAATATTTATTATAATTTCTGTTGCTTGAAAAAGCGCTTTGCTTTTGCTGTAAATTTTCATGAGGGAATAAATAATAATAATAATAATAATAATAATATCCCAACGGTTTTTACCCTCCATTCCCGCCCATCCGCGCGAGGGGCGCAGTCCGCATGACGTACGGAACCAATATTTTAAATTTTTGTGCCGAGTCACGATAGGCAGGAGTTGGTTAAGTGTCGAGATCTAAAACTGTTCAGCTACAGAACTAAATTCATCAGCTGATTTTATGTATTTATGTCAATAATTCACTTATTGAGAGAGGAGAGTATCGCTTTCTTAATGCTGAAAAGCGGATCTGATATATCAAACGTGCTGGAATGAGAGTTAAAATCCTGGCATAAGCAACGGGCATTTTTTTTCTTGAGAGCTGGAAACTGATTTAAGAAATTTTGGTAGAAGAAAATTTCTTTCCCATTTCTCGTCCGTCGTTTTATATGAATTTTTCGTTTTTCTTGAGAGTTCAGCTAATTTTTTCGGTATTTGAAATATTAAAAAAATTTAGCAATCGTGAAAAATCACCATCTCTATCGAAAACCAGAAATCGAAAAAATGAACATAGAAGTGCAAAAATTCATGGAATCAATAAATTTATTTTTACTGACTCTTTTTAAAATTTTGTATTAGGTACGCATCTTGAGTTTATAGAACTTTTTATTAAACAAGTAGTTTTTAAGGAAAGAACACAACCGACTTAAATTCGCATATTCAAATTTAGGGGTACCATTAATTTCTTCATGATCCAATCATCGGATCTCTAAAACAAATTACGGGACGAACCTTAACGTACTATCTTTATAATAAAAAAAGGATTATTGAAAACGGTTCACCTGGTCCAAAGTTATGTATTCCGGCGAGATGATAACCTCCCTTTTTTTGAAGTCGGTTAAAAGCGTTTGAGTTCTGTTAATCTGTAAATAAAGTGCAGTTTAAGAATTTTAAAACGTTTATTTATTTATTACATACTGTACATAAAACTTGCATAAATGTATTTTAAAGAGGGTATTATCTGAAGCAAATTTTCAGTATTTTCCGGTGATATATCTTCAGAAATATAAAACCCCCCCCCCTAAAATATATTCCTGGGTGCGCCCCTGACGTACATACATACTTAAGCTTATGTATGGGCATTAAAATCTGTTTTTCTGGATGACTTTTTTGTAAGGTATAAAAATGTGGTGTATTTTTGTTTAAATTCAGACCGCTGTGGTGTAGTGGTAAGCAGTGCGCGCTTCCACTTCGCAACGCCTGGGTTGAAACCCTGGTCAAAGCAACATCGCAAAAATATAGAAAAAAGGTTTTTTTCTTAATAGCGGTCGTCCCTCGGCAGGCAATGGCAAACTTCCGAGTGTATTTCTGCCATGAAAAACAGCTTCTCATAAAACTACAATCGCCGTTCGGAGTCGGCGTAAAACTGTAGGTCCCTACGCTTTGTGTGACAACATCAAGGCGCACGCCACAAAGCGGAGGAGAAGCTCGGCCAAACACTAACATATGTGTAAACGCCTTATCAGGGACCGTAACGGTAGTAAGTTTTATTATAAAAATCACTTTTTAATCGTTATAAACTGAGTTTTATTTTTTGCTCGGAAAATAATGGTTACGTTTTAAGTTTTATTTTTTGCTCTGAAAATAATGGTTACGTTTTAAGTTTTATTTTTTGCTCGGAAAATAATCGTTATTTCTTGAGTTTTATTTTTTGCTCCGAAAATAAAACTTAATTTTTGCGTATGCGTATGCGCTTTTTTGCTCTTTTTCTTTGGAAATGTGGTTCTGGCTGACTTCCAAAACGTCAATTGCTTTGCGTATGTACAAAGTATAAGGTTCCATAACGTCGAACTACAAATTATTGACAATGTATACTGTTCCAAAACGCAGCCGTAAAGTTATCGAAACGCATCGCTAGAGCAATCAGTGCATCAGAAACAAAGCTGATGCTTCGTTTATTATTGGTTAGCATTGGTGTTTTAGAAATGGAAAATTCAGAAAAATGGTTCATTACTATATTTGTTTCAAACCAAAATGCTGAGTTGGTTTCTCTTCAGTGACCAGTAATCAAAAATAAATGCCCCGAAATCCAATTTGCCTTTGTCTTATACACTTTATTTAATATAAAAAACAGCACGAGAAAATTGTGTATCTATAACTAGAAAAAATTGATGTAAGTATCTGGTGATTCAAAAAGTAAGTGAAGTTGGTTGCGAGTAAAATAAGAAAAATATAAATGTCAGAAATGGCAAGTCACCAGGGGTGATTTTAAATAGTATCATCAACATTCCGGCCCTCTTGAAAGCATCCGCTTTTAAATATCGATGAACAGTGGGCAAAGTTTGACAATGGGTCTTTTTAGGGTCCCCTTAAAAGTGTCTACAGACGCCACTCGCACTAAACCATCGGATCCTGGATGCACTTCTGAGATCTTTCCAATGGACCATTGGGTTGGTGGTAGGTTGTCGTCCTTTATGATAACCACATCGTTGATCTCTAGATTCCTCAAACGTTGAGACCATTTGGGACGTTGTTGCAATTGTGTTACATATTCGATTGACCACCTTTTCCAAAAATGCTGTGTCAGCTTCTGAAGGTATTGCCAACGATTTACTGCATTTTCCTTTAGGTTGATGAGGTTTTTGTCTGGCAGAGAAGTCATCGGACGCATAATCAGAAAATGTGCTGGAGTCAAGGGATCGATATCGCCTTCAAATTTGGTACATAGTGGGCGTGAGTTGAAACATCCTTCAATTTGACAGATAATAGTGTTCAACTCCTCATATGTAACGGACGCATCAGCCAATGTTCGTTTTAAGTGATACTTGACTGACTTGACGCCTGCTTCCCATATGCCGCCGAAGTGGGGTCCTGAAGGTGGGGAGAAATGCCACTGAATTTCTTGCTCAGCTGACGCTCTTGAAATGGTTTCCTGTGTTGTCGAATCATTTATGTATTGGTATAGTTCCCGTAAATGTTGATTAGCACCCACAAAATTGGTACCATTGTCTGAGAATCTTCGCAGTGAATCTTCGTAGTGATGCAATGAAAGCCGCTGTAGACAATTCAGTCACCAGCTCAATATGTATGGCCTTGGTGGTCAAGCAAATAAAAAGTGCTATCCAGCATTTATACAGTTTAGAGCCACGTCCCTTCCAAGAACGTACCTGTATCGGCCCAGCAAAATCGATCCCCGTGTTGAGGAAAGGTGATCCTGGATCCAAACGATATTTTGGTATGTCACCCATTTGTTGTTGGTAGGAAATGCCGCGGTGTCTCATGCATACTGTACATTTAAAGATGCACTGCTTGATAACATATGTGACTCCTGGAATCCAGTACTTAAGAGCCAAGAGATAATGTAATTGCCTATGTCCGGCATGCAAGTAACGTATGTGATAGCCACGTACAATTAGTTTAGTTAACGGGTGAGTTTTGTCCATTATGAATGGATGTTTCTGATTATAATTGATTTTCGCGTTGGTAACTCTGACACCTACGCGGAGCAGTCCTTGTTCGTCAATAAATGGAGCAAGTGGTGCCAACTTATGTGAAGATGGTAACTGCCTATCTTGACCGATAGTTCGTAACTCGAATGTGTAAGATCCTGCTTGTGCTGATCTTACCAGGACATCATGCGCCGTGCGTAGTTCACTGGTTGTAATGGATTAATTATTACCTTTGCTATTAATGCACTTAGCTTTGCAGTTGTTGACAAATCGCAAAAGAAGTGATGTGATTCGCAGCAGTCGTGTATAACAGGAGTAGCGCTCTATCACCGAAACCTCAGTTGTTACGCTTGCAAGTGCAACAGTGCTTTTCCGTTCTTCCTGCGTTATGTCATCTTCCAGAGGAGGCACTAAATGACACGTCTCTGGAATGTCTTTTAGTTCACCTGGACCATGCCACCAAATCTCGTTAGATAGAAGTTCTTGTGGCAAGATCTGCAGGATTGTGCTGAGAAGGAATGTGTCTCCAACGCTCAGACGGAACAACTTTTAATATTTCCGCAGTTCGATTCGCTATGAATGTTTTCCAACGGCGAGGATGATCCCTTAACCATGCCAACACTATTGTGGAATCCGTCCATCCAAAGGTTTCAGCCTTTGACAATTCCAGCGCATTTTGTACTTTAGTCATTAATTTCGTCATAAGATGTGAACCACATAGCTCAAGCCTTGGTAGTGTGATTTGTTTAACTGGAGCCACACGCGTATTGGCAGCTATTAAATTTGTTGATATTTGCCCATTTTCATGGTGAACTCTAATGTATATAGTTGCTGCGTATGCCAGCTCCGAGGAGTCTGCAAATCCATGTAGTTGTACGAGCTTCTCATTGGAGTAACGTATCCACCGGGGAATATGTAACTGTAATATGCGGTTGATGCTTTCTCGATACTCAACCCATTGAGTGTAAAGGTCGTGCGGTAATGCCTCGTCCCATCCTATTCCTCTCAACCACAGTTTTTGCATGAATATCTTCATTGATATGACCACTGGCGACAACCATCCGATGGGATCAAATACCCTAGCTAAATCCGATAAAACACTTCGCTTGGTTGTATGTTGGTTTGATGGCAAACAAACGCTGTATTTAAAACTATCGGTCGATGTATCCCATAAGAGTCCCAGTGTCTTTACTGTGCATGTAGAGTCTATACAGGTATCAAATTGAACCTCTCGATCCTCACTTGGAATACTTTCCAAGAAGGTTGCTGAATTTGAAGACCACTTGCGCAGATGTAACCCAGCATCAAACAACAGGGCGCAAATCTCTTCTTTAAGCTGAATCGCAGTAGCTTCGTCGGTAGCGCTTGCCTTAAAATCGTCTACGTAGAAATACTGTGAAATTGCTTCAGATGCTTTCGGATCTGCATTGGCGTTGTCATTGGCGATTTGCTTCAAGGTTCTAGTTGCGAGGAATGGCGCAGCTGACGTTCCATAGGTTACAGTCTTCAGATTATATTCTTTTATGGGTTCATCGTTTGACCTCCGCCAAAGTATACGCTGCAGTGATTGGTCGTCAGGGTCCACCAAGATCTGGCGATACATCTTCTCTATATCCCCTGTAAATCCCAACTTGTACTTGCGAAAATTTAAAATAATATCAAATAGATCTCTCTGAATTGTGGGTCCCACGAGCAACTGGTCGTTGAGCGAGAGTCCATTTGTAGTCCTACATGACCCATCAAAAACAACCCTCAACTTAGTTGTTGTGCTGTTAGGCTTTAGCACTGCGTGATGCGGTAAAAAATACGTACGTTTTGGATCGAAATTACCAGCCGGCTCCATGTGGCCCAACGTGATATAATCGAACATAAATTTTTGGTGTTCTTGCTTGAGCTGAGCATTATTATGAAAACGTCGTTCCATAGCTTAAAAACGTTTTAGAGCGTTGGTACGTGACTCACCGAGTTGCGGTTCGTTTTTCAATGGAAGTTTAACTACATATCTTCCAGACTTGTCTCGCTTAACAAATTGTTTATAATGATTTTCAGCTGCTAACTCATCAGGGGTGAGATGCTGAAGCGGGCCCTTAACGTCCTCAATCTCCCAGAATTGTTGCAGCTGTTGGCTAATCTCCATGAGTGTATGCGCGGTAATGATATGTTGTTCGTTCTCAGATGACAGCCTACCGATCAAAACCCATCCAAAAATTGTGTGCATTGCCGATGGTGAGCCACTGGGGTGCGGTATAATGCTTGGTAAGATGCAATCAGCAAGAACATCTGCTCCGAGAATAAGGTCAATGCGACCTGGCTTATCGTAGTACGGGTCAGCCAATTCCAAATGCTTAAAAAACTCTATATGAAGGTAAGTTCCGTGTTAGATTTGATAAACAAAGTCCCTCTGTTGAGATGGTCTTGCCTTGAAGTGCATGAATGCTTATGTACACTTTTCCTTTTGAGCGACTTCCATCCGTTGCTCCTACTCCATAGAGAATAGTGTTGTCGTATTTGGGTTTTAGTTGAAGACGTTGCACGCATGCTGCAGAAATAAGTGTGCCTTGTGATCTTGAATCCAGCAAAGCGCGACATTGCTGCAGTGAACCAAGGCAGTTGGGAGCAACGTGATTGACTGTGGACTTGATTGCAAACTGTTCACACTAATGCTTGTAGATTCTTCACTTCGTATTGGTGGTTGACATGCACTTGTTTGTTGCTTCTCTGTCGACGACCGATCTAAGTGCAGAAGCGTGTTGTGCTTACCGTTGCGTTTACGACAAAATGATCGTTTGCAATTCACAGCCTGATGATTTGGTTGCAAACAATTAAAACACATGTTGCCTTGCTGGACAACCTTTCGCCTTGCTTCTACATTGAGTTCCTTAAATTTACTGCAGTTGTATAGTGGATGATTCGAAGAACAAACAGGGCATGCCTGCATAACAGTAGTAAAGGTGCGTGATTGTTTTTGCCTATTGTAACTCTGATGTGATTGGTGGTTTGTGCCCTTAGATGTATTTTCGAGTTCAAATACACGCTTTTCCAAAAAATTTAAAAAATGTTGTATAGTTGTCGATTCGTCCGACTTTCTATCTCGATACCACAAAGTATGAGTTTCAGAATCTAGTTTTTTCTCAAGTATAAAAAGTAAAATTGAATCCCAGTGCTCTACTGGCTCTTTGAGCACCCTTAGTGCGTTTATGGTTTCGTTGGTTGTGTTATACAAACGTTTTGCTTCAGAAACTGATGAAATTTCCATCACAGGTTGATCAAACAAAATTTCAAAATAAGCCTTTTTTATATTGTCAGGTTTATCATATTTTTTCTTCAATAGTTGCCAAGCGATTTCATAATTTGCATTTGCTGGTTGCAAATGCTTTATGAGTGACAGTGCATCACCCTTTACCTTCGTTTGCAAATATTCCAATTTCTCAACATTTGAAATGTTAGTTTTGTTGTGAACCATGGCTTCGAATAGATCGCGGAATCGCATCCACTCAATGCACTTGCCATCGAAGTCAGGAATTTGTATTCGTGGCAATCGAAGCTCTTGTGGCAGCTGTTGCAAATTGTTTATTGTGTTGGTTGGTGATGACGAAGATCGACCATCGCTGCTTACGTTTTGTGAAATGCGTTCAATTAACGCGCCCATGGTGCCCTGATGCTCCATTAATGCTTGCATTGCTGTCGAAATATCTCCTGGAGATTGCTGATTCTCGATAATTGTCGCATTACCATCGTCTACTTGCGCACGTGAATAGCTTGCTTTAATTGTAAAATATTTTTCTTCAATTGCGGCCCGATACTCGTCCTCTTGCTCAAGCTCGCTAGCCGTTGTTGTAAGAAGATCGATTTCATTTTGAATATCGCCGTATTGCTTGAATAATTCTTCAGCGCGCTCTATACGCACTTTTAAATCGTCAATTGTCGTATTTGTATCTGCACAAATACTTTGAATTCGTGTCAGACTGCTTTTGATTACTTGACGTTGTTTTTTAAATGAATCCATTTTGTGGTGGTTGTTTTTTACTTATGTTGACGTTTCTACTATGTTCTACTTGTGGCAAATGTCAGTTTTCGTCAATGTACGACCGCTATTGTGACTGCAACATACAATTGCTGCCAGATGTCTTGAATAGTACTCCGAAAATTGTGCTTATTACTCCGAACGAGTCTCCAATTTGTGTTGCAATTTCAGACACCCTTGTGTGTCTTCAAACGATGTAATGCTGCTTGTGATACAATCTCGTGCTTTCAATTACGATGATGCGATTACAGACACTCTTGTGTGTCTTCAATGAAGATTATGTAATTCCAGATACTTGTGCGCCTCCAAGTAAGACGCCAATTGATAGTCGAAATTTACGGTGGTGTATACAGAAGCAACCTGGATTCCTTGAGCATCCGGCTCGAAGGGCCAAATTATGTTTCAAACCAAAATGCTGATTTGGTTTCTCTTCAGTGACCAGTAATCAAAAATAAATGCCCCAAAATCCAATTTGCCTTTGTCTTATACACTTTATTTAATATAAAAAACAGCACGAGAAAATTGTGTATCTATAACTAGAAAAAATTGATGTAAGTATCTGGTGATTCAAAAAGTAAGTGAAGTTGGTTGCGAGTAAAATAAGAAAAATATAAATGTCAGAAATAGCAAGTCACCAGGGGTGATTTTAAATAGTATCATCAACAATATTGAATATTTAAAATATGCAATGTTTATGGTTACAATGTGTCGCAACTCTGCATATACAAACAATTTGAATACCGCAGTATAACAGTTTCCAAACATTGTATTGATACGTTTTGGAAGTCAGCCTCTCTTTGTTTCTGCCCTGGTATCTGTATTTTCATTACCCACTCCACAGTGGCGGTAAAGGTTCAATGCAGCCGCCCCCTGTCTATTCACTACATTTTTTAGAGCATTATGAACCATATTTTTGCTATTAAAAATAAAGATTCTAAAATATCGGATTTCCAGCCCATCCTAATGTCTATATTTCTACGCTGCTACGCGCAATTTACTTACAGCCGTATAAGCGGATTAAGTAGATGCTGCTCGGTGCATGTGCACCCAAAAAAAAGAGAACCACCCTTGTATCACAGCCAGTGATCGGACTTAATAAAAATTCTGTGTGGTAGATTCTGGAAAAAAATGTGGTAGATTTAGAAAAAATGTGGTAGATCTCAGGTTTCGGATCAAACATTTTACAAAAATTTAAAAAAATGTGCATGGCCTCAACTAAACTGAAAACTTTTTAATTCGAATCTCTAGAAAAAACTTTTAACTTAGGTTTTGCCGATTTTGACAATCCTAACATAAAAGAAAACAACGCCTTAAAAACATTTTTTACATTTTCTTTATAAGTTCTTTTTATAAATCATATATTTTCCGGTGAAAAATTTAATATTGAGAAGTTGAGAAAATTCACTGTTTGACAGTTTATTTTCCCCTCCCATTCGGCTTTGTTTACTTTTACTTGAGAAATCTCATCGCCGCCGGGAATGCGAAATCTTGTACAGTGAAACCAGCTTAAGTACCCCCCGCTTAAGTAACCAACATTTTTGGGCAATGTGAATTTTTGAATGTAATCTGCACAAAATCTCTCTCTTAAGTACCTCCCCGCTTATTTACCCAATCCGCCTAAGTACTCAATTTTTCGTACCCCATTTACCATTTTACCTATAATTTTCCTCTTTTAAATGCTCTTTTAAAATTCCTTAAAATATTTACATATTTTAAATCTCAGTGGCAGCGTTACACACCTTCGGCAAAAAAATATATAAAAAATCAAGGGTAATTTTTAGCCACTTGGAACTTGCACATTATTGCACTAAAATTGAATGGACTATAAAACTGTATACTCAAAAAACACATCTGAGCAAAAAAAGTTTAATTTTCATGAATTATTTTCTTTAAGTGTTCTATAAAATCTTAAGCTTCGGTTTACATGGTATTTGTTAGGAAATGAACTGTATTTTAAATGAAAAATCTTAAATAAATACGTATACTTCATTAAATATTTATGTTTTATTCAAGGATTTACATATTTATGTAAGTTAACATAAAGATAAAACGACACCAGTAATTATGTTCGCTTAAGAACACGCATCGAGGTACTTAAGCGGGTTCTTTTAAGTACCCGACCCGCCTAAGTACCTCAAAAAGCTGACATTTTTCGTGAGGTACTTAAGCGGGTTTTACTGGATACTATTGTTTTTGTTATTAGGGACACGAATTTCGATACGATATGATACCATACCGTTACTTTTTACTCGAAAGTCTTCACACGATATTTTTTGGAATCGAGTACCAGAACCCTTGTATCGTATCGAATCGTAAATGTACATTACAAAGTGAATGTGCATAATGATACATTTGTATGACAAAATATTAGAAAATAAAATGAAAACCTCAAAATTTAAAACTCTGGGAATTGGGCAAGACTTTTTGTATAAACTTTTTTAGTAATATTTGAAATATTTAAAGTTAATTTTCCTAATTCCAATGTAAAAATCTGGCCTGCTTTTTTTAACAGCCGAAGCATCTGACGTGACGTTACCTTACTAAAATTTCCAGGGACCGCAAATAACAATTATCCTTTGAAATTTCAACTCAAAAAATCATGCTGAAAGAGAAATGCTACGTGCATATGGAGTAAACCAATATATTTCTTATTACTCGGCGGCACTGATTTTTAATTTTTAATTTTTACTTATAAAAATCAAGTTTAATCATTATATTTTGATTTTATTTTTTACTCAGAAAATAATCGTTATGTTTTGAGTTTTATTTTTTGCTCGGAAAATATTGGTTACGTTTTTATACCTTTCATGAGCATGAAATGGTATTATAATTTTGGTCCTATGTTTGTAAGTACCAGAATAAAAAGAGATAGACCCATTAAAATGTATACTTATATGATC